CCCTCAGTGCTCCGTCTGCACCCCCTCCCCTCTGTGCTCCCTCATAAGCCACGCCCTTCACTTACAGGCACAGGCACCGTTGCTGCAGAAGCAGATCACTGCTGAAAGTCTCTTAAAGATTTTGGAAACTGATTTGTCTGCAGTTTGAACAAAGCCTTCGTCTCAGGCGGTGTATAAACCAACATTAGTAATGCATTAAATACTCAGCCCTTTGATACATCGAGCTGAAACCACTGTGTTTGCAGTAAACGGAGGTTTGGTAATTTGCAGAAGTTTTCTCCTGAAACAATCCACTTTCTTTCTTTCCCTGACTGTCCTGAAGAAGCACCTGTGCCGTGAAGCGTCGCTCCTGCTCGAACACACCTGATCCAATTATGTCCCACACAATTTCATAACGGCGTAATTGGATCAGGTGTGCCGGTCTGGAGCTGTTGAGGATAACGCTGGTGTTCCTGACACCCGGGAGTGTCGCCGTGATTGGAGTCAGATTGGTGCTTTGATTCTGGGCTGGAGGACATCTTTTCAAGTCGCCTCTCAAAGCAGCCTCTTCACTTTTTTTGGTTTTTCATGCGCCGACACTCCTCCCCTTCCTTCTTCTCCGTGGGCTTCTTTTCTTTAGAATGATTTGTTTACCCACAATTCCCCTGGGTAATTAGTGCTGTGATAATAACTGGTGTTGGAAACAAACACACCCACTCAGTGAGCAGTGCACACAAACAGAAACACACACACATGCATACACAATAGGATGAAAAACAGCTTTCTTGAGCTTAGTCACATTAACTTGCGCTGCATAGAGGAACTGGAACTGTTTAAAGTGAGGAGGAAACAAATGTGGACGATGCTGTTCCATATTGATGTCATGAGGTGGATATTACTTTGGCCTCGTCAACTGAGCTGAGAGTTTGTTAAAGTTAAACGAGGCGCAGAGGGGTCTGTCTTTTCCATCACTGTGACTACAGGGAGCTGTCAGTGTGTATGGCTGCAGCCTGGAGCCTCTCGTCTCATGCCCTCTCATCTGTTGCCCTGAAGCCACGCCCCCAGGAGCTTTGCAAGCGTATGATTGATTATCAAAATAAAAGCTTGTACTATAAGCTGCATGGACGGCTTAAGGCGAGCGTGCACGAGACGAGAGGTCTCCAGGCTGCAGCAAAACTCGACTCCCGGTGCCGTGGCTGAGCTAAGGTTCACCTTTATGGACAAAACATGTGATCAATGCAATTAAAAAAAATGAATGCATTACTTTTTGAGCTTAAACGCAGTAACGCTGACAGCCATAGTGCAGACCTCCTTACTCTGCATGGGTTGACTTTTATTTTTCAGCACTCCAGATCTTGACAAAAAAAAGACAATATCCTAAAAAGAAGTTGCATCAGTGTGTGTTGCCATCGCTAATCCTCTGATGGTGGAGATCTGGGTGGATGTTGGTCAGTGGTCAATGTTTTCTTGTGACTTTGATCTCGTCAGATCAATGTGTGTTTACTTTCATACATGAAGCATTTCAAAGAGTCAATAAAATATTTAAACTTGTAGAGCGAGACACAAACAGCCGATCTTTGAGGAATGTTTTCCTGTGAGTCTCGCTTCAGGCAGTCAATCAGTCTGTTAGCCCACGAGGCTGCAGAGTCAGATCTTGAAACTTGAACTTGTGGCCTCGCAGTCATTCAGCAGCTGCCCCGGTCAGCGTCGCGTGAACTCTGACTTCCCCTCAAAGCGTACTGAGATGTGATTCATCCATCTTCATTCAACAGGGCATGCTTCTATGCTCACTAAACAGGAATGTTTTATCATTGTGCATTAAATTCATTGTACTGGGAAGCTCACAGGAAGCTGTGGTTGCACTGGGCAGCTATGAGTTGAGACTCTGTTTTTGAGTTTTTATTTTTAGCTCTTTAATGGAAAAGGGACAAAGTGCTGCCTGTATCAATTTAGTATACCAGAGCAACATGTAAATGGGCGCCGCTCTATCTGATGACAGCTGCTATTCATGCAGGGGAGAATGCACACATGTGATGAGCGTGTAATTCAAAAGATAACAATGTGCATGCATGTTTGCAGCCTTTTCGCTTCCAATAAATCTCTGCAGAGAAACGACAGTGAGGAGAAACAAAAGAGAGAGAAATCCAAGATAAGAGAAGGGAGAGGGAGAGAATCCCCTGCTGTTTTTCCAATCAGGAGGCGTCGTCCTCCTCGCTGGGTGATTTATTCTCCCTCTTCTCCTTCATGTCCCAATTTTCAAACCACCCCATCCTCCGTTTCTTTCATTCATCCTTTCTCCCCGTCTCCCTTCTGTGGGCAGCTTGTGAAAGCAGCTATTTAGAAATGACGACAGAAACACATTCAGGCGGGCGGTGTTGTTAAAGTGACTCACCTGAAAGAAAGGGCTGAGGTTTTCATTTTTTACAGTGCACTTTTTCCTCTCTAAATCCAGTCCAGAATAAATCTCCAGGCGAGGCTGAGAGACGCCTCGACATCAAACATCTTTTATTTTAAAAGCAGCTTTAAATGATGTATGACCTCACTGGCCAACATTAATAAGTGTCTGGCACCGCTCTGAGATCATCCTCCCGAACAAATGAATAATGAAACAGAGGTGCGGGTCAAGACTAAATATATTATTAACTTAAATTAATCCTGAAATGAAAAATATGAAGCGCTTTTGAGAGCAGCCTCACTGCTAAAGGAGGATTCCACTATTTTAAAACCTTAGCTCTGGTTTTAAAAGATCTTCCACCCAAAGTGACTAAAACTGACCAAGCTTTGTTTTCTATTTGCTCCTCTTGACTGCTTCAGCCTGCAGCCACGACCTAGGCTGCAATGTTATCCAAAATCCAATCAAAGTACGCCCACTTAGAGTGCTGTCGTTTTCCCCTTACAGGATGACAACGTTATTTAAAGTGTCTGATATTATAGAGGAGAAAATCCGACAAATATAGACCTTATAGGTGTTGTAAGATTGTTTGTTTACTTTGAGTTACTGCTCGATTTATTACTACCAGACTCCATTGAGAAAAACAACATTTTACCTCAGAGAACGAGGGACCTTTAGGCTTCCTTGATCCGTGAAGATGTGTGTGTTTCTAGTGTTTTAAAAGGCAGATTAAGATCAAGCAAAGTCCTTTTTTAGATAACACAAAATATGCGTCAATCTAGACAGTGGTAGACAAGTAGTTCCTGTTTTATGGGAGATTAATTATTGTTTTTCTGAAAGTGAAAGATGTATCAGGTAGACTCTATGGAATCATTCGGTTCCTGTCTGGTGGAAATAGAAGGAGCGTTTCCAAAAATCTTTTGTCTGTCTATCCCACAATTTGTAACATTTCCCCTCTAATCGAAACCATGCTTATCAAAGGAGAACATTTAATTTGTCAGGTTTCTGTCGGCGCCAATAAATAGAGCATCCATTCATTAAAACCTGTCTTGTTCGTTTAGTCACATTTCACATCCCATAAGGTCGTCCTGCACCTCCCTCCATTCACCCCCAGAGCCACAAGTGTGTGTGTGTGTGTGTGTGTGTGTGTGTGTGTGTGCCGGTGTCTGATGCCTGTGCAGCTTGTGCCGCCCTGCTCTGCCTCTGAGAAGCGTCGTCCTGTGTCAGCAGGAGTGGATGTGGCAGAGCATGAGATATGGCACATTATATGTAAAATTAACCATTCAAGTGTTTGGGTGTGTATTCCTCTCTCTTCGCTCCCCACACACACACACACACACACTCTTACAGCCCACCCACCCACTGACACTGACCCCTCCCTCTCAGCGCTGGTTGGTTGCCACGGCTACAGTGTCGCCTCTCTTCCTCATGTTGCTATGAGACTCGGACCGACAGACCTGAGCTGAATGACAATGTGTCTGTGGCTCCGGCAAGAGGCCTCCATCAGCCAATAAGAGGCAGTCTAGACAAACACTTCCCAATCTGGGATCTGGGGACCTCGGGGGTGATTGTTTGGGTTGGCAGGAGCCTCCTCCACTGTCTGAGGAGTGGTTTATTATTAACTCCGCTTTTTAATTTCCCCCAGCAATCATCGCAATGAGAGAATGTGTCCGTCATTTTAAGATAAATGATTGTCAGATTTAAAAAAAACGACAGGAACGTCCTTGTTAAACTAAAGAAGATAAGATTAAAACAAGCTTCAGTTAAGTAGAGATAATTAAAGCTGAGTTAATCAATATATTTTATATTAACTATGGATTGATTACTATGTTAAATACAAAGTAAAGCAGTGGTTTATGGGATGTGAGGTGGGGTTGATTTAAGATGAAATGGAAGAATGGAGATGCATGAATGTTATTAAAGGAGACATATTGTGAAAAATCCACTATTACAGTTTGAACATATATTTTTTTGGGGGGGGGCTTTTTTGTTTCTTAATTGGATAGGACAGCTGAAGAGAGACAGGAAAGAGTAGGGGGTGTAATGCAGCAAATGGCCGAGGTAGGATTTGAACACGGCACTGCGATGAGGACTAGCAGCACAACCCGTTAAGCTATCTGCACTCCGCCTCCCCGTCTCATTTAACGTATTTTCACAAATTATTAAGTGTTTGACTAAAAGGATGTTTTGTTTTCAGTCTCTGCAGCCTTTATGAAGGGAAGCTGACATATTGTTTATAAAACTTCTCTTATCCATCGTCCTCGACCTAAGCTTAAGGTGTTGGGTTGCTGAGATATTGCTGCTCTCTGATACAGTTGAAGAATTTTATTAACTTCTCAGACTGCCTGGATTCCCAAAACAAAAAAAAAAAGTTTTATGTCGAGCTGCCTTTCCCTCCTCGCTGTGACTCACTCGGGAGGACGATTTCTCACCCGGTAAGAACAACACCTTGACTCTGAGCTGAAATATGCTCCACTGGAGGCGTCGTGAAACCACAGGAAAATACTTTTTGGTTTGTTGCTCGATGTAGAGAACGTCAGAGTGACACGACTTAATGAAACACTTAATGAGTCAGTCTGTGAAAACTCAGTGTACCTAACATGCCTGAACTCTCCTTGTGTCTCTGCAGGAACTGTTTACAGCAGAATGTAAGTTTAAGGAGTCGGTGTTCGAGAACTACTACGTGATCTACAGCTCTATGCTCTACAGACAGAAGGAGTCGGGCCGGGCCTGGTTTCTGGGCCTCAACAAGGAGGGACAGGCCATGAAGGGAAACAGGGTCAAAAAGACCAAACCAGCTGCACACTTTCTGCCTAAACCTATAGAAGGTAACGCACCTTTGAACACATTTTATTTCTACTTCAGATGTCGTTGTTTGTGTTTAAAATGTTTAATGGGAGTGAAGACAAAACTTTTTCTCTCTTCATTTGTTTCCTTCATTCACTTGTCCTTGACTCCTCCCCTCACATCCCATTTTCCTCCATCATTGCCCCCCCTCTTCCTCCCCAATGTGACCCTTTATCTCTCACCCCCCCCCTCCTTTACCCGATCATCCCACCACATTTACAGTCGCGATGTATCGAGAGCCTTCGTTGCACGACGTAGGGGAGGCGGTGCCTAAAATCGCTGCTGTGGGCCCGCCTTCCAAAAGCACAACCAGCGAACCGGTGGTCATGAACGGCGGGAAACCAGTCAGCAAACCTGACAAGGAGGAAACATAACCCCGCCCCTCTTTCGACCCCCCACTGCTGCACAATCATAAACTGCAACAAAAGGTAACAAAAGAAGTTCTGACTGGTCAGCAGTGGGGCAAGTCCCGCCTCTCGTCTCTCCCTATTGGATGGATCCAGCATCACTGGGGGGTTGGGCCGGAGGGACAGATTGTGCGGCTTGAGGCGGGGGAAGAGGAGGACGAAGACTCAGGCCAATGCTAGCCAGATATTCTGACACGGACTATGGCGTGTGGACTTCTTCAAAATATAAACGAAAGAAACAGAAAATGGAACAAAATGTCGTCTTCGCCCGTTTTTTTCTGTGACAATCTGTAAGAATGAGGGCCCCCCCCCCCCCCCCGTTTTTTTCCTTTCCCGATGTTTCCTGTTAGCAGGTGTGCTTACTCGACACACACACTCAAACGCACACACTCTTTTCCACTCGTGCTGAAAAATCGACCACTTGGTTTTAATTTTTGAGCAGATAAGAAACAGATTAAAAACATCAGCGAAACAGCAAACCCTGACACTTCAGAGGTTGCTTACTCATCAATCAATGAAAGAGTAATTATCCTTTTTTATTTCTTTTTTACACTATTTTACATATTATTGGGTCTAAATGACAAATTGGTACAAAGAGTTTGGGGATTGCTCCAGTGAAGAGCAATTAAGAAATGAATCGTTGCCCATGTTTACGATTATCGATTCACACTTTTGCATTTGTTGCAGGATATTCTGTACAGAGCAAACATGTGACGGCTTGTCCCTCATTTGAATCACGTACTACTTAGCTTTTAAAAAGAGAGAAATCACATTGGACAGCACTTAGCTCAAAGCATGCGTGTCCCTTTACTTTGCATACAGAACACTAGTGACGTTATTGTACAGACACAGAACAGACTTAACGTTCTTTATTCATAATATTTTTCACCCCTTTTGCAAATATTTTGATTTCTTAACGAGTAGCTCAAAAAAAGGACACGATTAACGGGCGAGTTTTGGCGTCGTGCCGCTCGATTTAGTGTGTAGCTAAATCCACAAACTCCCCGTGTGTAGCATCAGGCGGCACGCTGTTGTGTAAGCAGCGTGGTAGCAGTCAGTGTTTACATGGAGTAGCAGATAATGTAACAGACGGAGGGTCACGCCTCAAGAGAGCAGCAGTACTGTTTGTTTCTGTTGTTGTTCAAAGCACTTGTAGTTAAAGGTATGCATGAGGGTAATAGTCAACAGGGTAAAATATGTAAAAGCCACGATGTGTAGAGAAAGATTTCAGAGCTGGGCGAGTGGATCGTCCTCTAAACTCTGACCACATGAATTATTTATGTAATGAGAAGGTCCAGAAGAAATACGACTACACAAAGTGGCTTTACATCAGCACAGAGGCCTATGAAATAAAAAAAAGAAAGTATTACAGACCACCAAAAAACAAATAGCACACATCGATTTCAGTGTCGAAAAAGCTGTCATCAAATCAACCGGAACCATACTTTTTTTTTTTTTTTGTCTTTTTCTGTGAGACATGGAGAACTACGAGGCGGAAAATCAAAAAATGTCTTGAAACTGAAATGAAACCAAATAGATTCCCGTGCTTTGCCCTCTCACTGTGACAGACAACATGGCACCGATCTGTTCAACATTTAGGCTTTCTGTTTACTTTTTTTTTTTTTGGACAGCAAAACTATGGTGGTTGACATCCTCAAAAAGTTCCACTAATATTCCCATATCACCGAGGAGATATTTAAAACTGTGACACGTTAATGAGTCTATTCAAGTCAGGAACAGAAACTGTGCGTCCCTTTTAGTTTGAATTGTAATTTTTTCGGGCAAAATCACCAGTTTGCATTTTAATTAGATCACAGAATCAGTGTCAGAATGACCTCCTCTTCAAAGTGAATCCCCCTCCTAGAGAAACACAAGTCTGCGTGATTAATCCTCACTGTTGTTCCGACATTAATCGAGCTGGAAGCGGCTGAATCGGCGCCTCAGCAACAGGTGTGTGTCTGTGAAGCGCTGCTGCACACAGTGAAGAGCCAATCTGACGTGCTTCATGTCGTCCTGCTGTGTTGTACAAAGGATGCTCTCCACCGCTGAAGAGACTGTGAAAATACGAGACAGCTGACAGAGTGTCTAATTGGCATTTCTCACATTTGTTCCTCACATACACCACATGTTTGTCTCCCTCTCTGATCTCATTAGCTGTTTTCAAACAGATGACACCGACCAGCTCGCATATTAACTCCAATGTGTCCTTCCTGTAGGATTGTTCTGAAAGAACTCTAAAACTAGTGATTCATGATGAAATGTGTGTTCAAAAGAGAAATCACATCACTTTAGGTGTTTTTTTCTGGGTATTTTTTAAACTTGGGTCTTACTTAAGGGGATTGAAATGTGAGAAATGTACAAAATCTATTTTGTACAAGAAGTTAAGGGGTTGCTCCAGTAGATTTCTTCAGTCAGCAGCCGTAAAACAGGCTGCTATGTTTTAAGTCAGGGCAGCCACTAAGAGCAAAACCAGGTGAAAACGTTACTGACAGAAAACCTCCAGAGAGAGACTAAGATCCTTTTTTTAATTCCAGAAACACCAGTTATATCTGTGTTTTCAAAACCACCAGACTCCATTAACCAAAACAGGACTTTCATCATCTCCTGTCTTATTAGTTTTTTGTTGTTGTATGACTTTGTTGTTTAAAATGTTGCATCAAACACAACTCAGTATTTTTGTAGCAAACACAATTTAAGAAAGAAGCAGCAGAAGCAGTGATAGACCAACTCATGTTGTGTTCATGGCTACAGTAAATTGCTGTTTTTTTGTTCATGGAGCCTGGTGGTTTAGAAGAGACTGATTGGATGAAAGTTGCTGGTGAAAATATTTTTTCCCTCCAAGTGATCTGTTCAGTAATGTAGTCAGACTCTTACAGTCTGTCCTAACAGCTAGCAGCATGCTACGCAAGCTGGCGTGTTTCAGTCGTTGCAGCGTTTCTTAGAAATATGACCGAAGATTAGATGTTTTTTTTAAGCTTCTGTAGTTTTTGAGACCATTAAAGTAATGTTTTGAAACACGTGCGTATATTTTTTTAAAAGCCCAGGTTTGAAAAATACCAGAAATACCGTCATCCCTACCCTTAGAAAGATTTCACAAATCCTCAAGTACAAGTGAAATGTATTGCTGCTGTTGGTTCATCATCAAAGTGTAACTTTATCTGGGTGATACTGTCGATAATTGTTATATGAGTGCCTCTCATTCATGCAGGGTGGCTGCAGGTTTACACTAAAAATGCAGCCACTCTGAGCTCCAGCAGGGGAGAAACAACATTTCCAAATAATCCACTTGACTTCATCCCTGTCCTGAAGAGCAAAAATGGGACGAAAGCCGTGAGGAAATGTCTTTTTGTTGTGCTTGTTTCACGTCAGAGAAATGTGGATGTAACATTTATTGACTGCTTGTTGTGTCACGATAGGGGGTTACAAGTAAAACAGTAAAAAAAAAAAAAATAAAGCCTGACAATCAGGTCTGTAAACTTTTATTTGTTTTGAAATGTATCCCGTGTTGTCTTAACTGCGTGAACCTTCCTCAGACTCCACTTTAATTACAGTATAGAGGACAATGTTTGTGCCTGCCTGAGCAACCATTAGCTGATCCAATCAGTTACAAGACTCCGGGACAGCGACTCTTATTCTCCGAACGATTATCAAGCTGCTTATTTATCCTGCACTGCTGGTAGAGAAAAAAAAAAGACAAAGCAAAATGAACATGTTTCTGTGTTCACGGAGGCTCTGCTTGTTATGTTAGCCGTAGCGTCTTGTTAAAAATGAAGATCTGTGGCACATTCTCAAGATTTAATAACAGCTGAGGCCAGAGAAAATGGCCTGGTTTCCTGGATACTGACCAAAAAACACTGCTAGGATAGTGTTTCCAGGCTGGCAATCACGGTTCAAACAACGAAAGCGCAATTACTTTCAGCGTCTCCGGAGAGATCTGTCTCCACTGGTGTTTAGCCAGGTACCAAGGCTACAATTATGAGATATCTAACAGCGGGTTCTTCTCAGGAAGAGAGCGTCTGATTTAATTAGAAACAAGCAATCACCACAGCCTGGGTCACTTTTTGATTTCCACATACGAGGACCGCTCGTGTTGTCATGGCAGGCACACATGTAGCCATCTTACTTCAGACTGTAGCTCTGAACTCAGACATCAGAAGGCACAAAATGGACACAAAGGATACAGGACAGAAAAGCTGCTGTGACCTGGTGCACTTTAGAGACACAGGGACATGTAATGGTTTAGCACTGTTCTCATACTGTAGCTCGTCTCCCTCAGGTTTTTCTTTGCAGCTTCTTCTTTCCGTTCCACTTTATTCCTCTTACAAAAGACTGCCTTATTACATCTGAATCAGTAAACGCACTCTCCTCCAAGCTGTTTCTTTCTTTCTCCGAACACTCATCCCACACAGCAGCAGAAACTCCTCATCCTATTTTACTTTTCAATTATCCTTTGATCCCCAATCTTCTGTTCACTGTAACTATGCTAGCTTTAGCACTTTGCTCGTTTTGTAATCATGCAGCCAGAGAACTTCTATTCCCATCTCTGCTTTTCTCCCTCCTCTTCCTCCTCTCTGTTTGGACTGTTTCCCACTTGTTGCATGGAATAAAAGAGGAAAGATGACTGGGGCTAATGCATGTGGTAACGTAGGTAATGTGTTATCAAAACAGAACAATCATTTACAGCATAGCACCCGTGACATTTTGCTTATGGCTCGTTTCTGCAGATGGTTTGCACCCGTCAAGCTTATATTTTTACATCATACTTCATTGAATTATTCAAAATGACGTCATATCCTGAAGACTATTTTCTTCAGAGGGTCGTTGTCTTTCCAGACTGAAAGCAGGAAAACTAGAAATAGAAAATAGAAACAGATAATTGGATGAATTCTGCTTCTTTTATCAGTGACAAATACAAAGCATGATGTCGTTGTATTTGCTGGTGGATTTAGAAACAGATGGAGGTATTTAGGACCAGAAAAGAGTTCAGTGGCCATGAAAATATCAAAACAGCAAACTTGCAAAAGTAGCTTTTAAAATGTTCAAACTTGGAAACAAAAAGTTTTTTAGCATTAGTCTTTTGTTGTGAAATGACTGAAGTCCTGCAGGGGGTGTGCTCAGTGCTGCCACTGGTGGCCAGAAGCTGTATTACAACAATATTATAGCTTAATCTTAATACTTAATCCAACCCCATTTTATTTGTAATAATTTCTATTTTCTTAAATGATAAGACCATTTGGTAACACAGTGCAAATAGTTTACAAATTATACTACATAATTATTAGCTCGTGCATGACTAATGATGATGATGATGCATCAACTAAAGCAGGATATATAAATATAAAGTCATAATGACTTCATGATATCCTTCATGTTGTCCCTGCATTGGTTAAAGTAGATTATTTGTACTCTTATGTGAATTGATTCAAACATTTCTTCTTTGAATAAATCATGACCTGCTGCTTTTTTTTAAAACTTTTTAATCCACCAACAAGTCACAAGTTTCTCATGAAACATGTAAAGATTGACAGAGCAGGAACACACTAAGCAGAAACTACGACACACAAAAATGACAGGCTTGCTTTCAAATTCAGACTTTGGGTAATTGCAGGAACGTATGGTGATAAATTAGCATACAAGCAACCTGCGATATCCTCCCACTGCAAACTGTGCGAGCAAACTACGAGCCAAAAGCAGAATGTCACTGCCGCTAACCTTAAAGGATATCTCTCTGTCTGTCAGTCAATGTACAGTTACACTTTACATACATATTATGCAAACAGAGTTTGTCTGCACTGTACAGTTTGTGTCCGATCCATTGTATACACACAGAAAAAATAAAAAGATATTGAATAAAGGATTTATAGAAAGGAACTGTGTCCAGAATTCATTTTGATGTTTACGGATATCATTCATGACTACATTTATCTGCTCAACATTTGCACTCTCACTCGTATGTGTCACCTGACGGATCCCTCAATAACTCCTTTTCATCCTTTGTGTTGAGCGCAGGGCAGCCTGTATTATGAGCCAGAGAAGGGCAGGAAGGGACTGACACTGCTTAGAGAAAGGACGGCAGACTCTTCAGCGCAGACATCCAACCAAATAGTAGGTGACAGAGGAACAGCTGTTTTCAGTTAATAAGTAGAGTTATGTTAAGAGCTGCAAAAATCAGTCCCAGATATCATTGAGGGAAAGGCGGGGTTACACCTTTGACTGATCACCAGCCAATCACAGGGCTGACATATAGAGACAGACAACCAGCCTCACTCACATTCACACCTACGAGCAATTTAGACTCACCAGTTTACCTAACGAGCATGTGTTTGGACTGTGGGAGGAAGCAGGAGAGAACATGCAGACTCCACACAGAGAGGCTCCTGACAGACGGGGATTCAAACCAGGAACCTTCTCGCTGTGAGGCAAAAGCGCTAACCACTGCACCACCATGCAGCATGACAACACTCACTGTTTTATTATAATGATGATAATGATTACTGCTATTGCTATGGAGGCAGATATACTGTATGTGTGCAGCAAAACTTTTGGTTCATTTTAACTGTTTCTAAAATGTCACCAAAACAAATTACCACCCGGTGAACCTCTTGTGACCACAGTAAATCCGCTCGCTTTGCTCTGTTGGTAATCCAGCCTCGGAGACACACAGAGAAAAACACCACGGCTCAGTTTGCAGAGAGAGCAGAGAGTGTGATGGAAGCACCATTAAACAGTTCCATTATCACACACAGATATGTACAGAGAGACAGCTCTGCAGGTTGGCAGGCAGGAGGAAACATCACACACACAACCACACATCTCCTGGCCTCCTTTAAGTGACGGATGAACCAGCAAGAACTGTAATTAGGTGGCAGTAATTAAAATCTGCATATGTTAATGTAATGTAAATGAGGTGTACTTTGAAGGGCAGCATGATGTTTAATTAGCAAGAAAGAGGTTATAAAGAATTCAAACTTTAATTATATCTGGAGAGCTGCATCCTTCATATCTCATTCCACCTGAAGATCTTCATAATGCCAACTACATTTACTTCATTACTTTTATTAAGTGAGTGATGATTTCATTTCCTGCATCCCTTTTCTTGAGCATAATTTGTCTTTCTTGTGCCACTGGGCTACATTTCCTGTTTTAAAGTCCGTCTAGTTTCCTGCATAAATACTTGGAAAAAAAAAAGAGAACTTCAGGAAGACTAACCCTGAAATTCTCCTGATCTGGTCGTTCACACATGCACCTCACAGTGGCATGACCATGAACGTGAAGCATGACCATGAACGTGAAGCATGACCATGAACGTGAAAGCATGACCATGAAAGTGAAGCATGACCATGAAAGCATGACCATGAAAGTGAAGCATGACCATGAAAGTGAAGCATGACCATGAAAGTGAAGCATGACCATGAAAGTGAAGCATGACCATGAAAAGTGAAGCATGACCATGAAAGTGAAGCATGACCATGAACGTGAAGCATGACCATGAAAGTGAAGCATGACCATGAAAGTGAAGCATGACCATGAACGTGAAGCATGACCATGAACGTGAAGCATGACCATGAAAGTGAAGCATGACCATGAAAGTGAAGTCAGGCTGTATTGAAGAAGATTTGAATCTGGAGATTGGGAACATAAACTCATGAGGAACATGTCCACAGAGGGAAAAGACAAACTGAGAAGTAGCAGCACTTTCTCAAAGATCTTTAAACTTCACTTTGCAACAATTGGTGTCGCCCCCTGCTGGCCATGAGACATAAAGCAGATTTATTTAGAAAACACTTCAGCATTGGTTTTTTCCTTTTAAAAATAAGTGTCCACTTCTTCTGTTCAGCCTGTGGGCCTGACTAAACCAATGAGATCACATTCGCCTGCAGCTAAAAACTAAAAACTCTATTATGGACAAAGCAAAATGTCTGCGCGGTAATCTCTTATTAAAAAGCAGCCAATTATAGCCGCAAAACAAAATGACATTTTGTTATCAGAGAGCACAAAATGTTTCGATTTCCCCGTCTTTTTTGATTAATTTCATTAAAACAGCGTCGAGTTGGGATTTTTGGGTCCCTTATCTGCTACACACTACACACAGACACACACCAACACACACACACACACACACACACACACACACACACAGATAGTATGCCCATGCTGAAGCGATGTGTTTGAGGTGGCAATGAGAGCTCACTTGAGAGCCTGTTTCTGTCTGCCTCATTATCATCAAACACAACAGGCGCTCCAGCACTCTCACACACATACATTAACACACTAGCATGCATATACGCACACGCTTCTAATGCACACACACACAAACACACACATCATAGTGTCATAGATGGTTTTCATAGTAATGACGGCCACTTCAAGCATTTATGCCCCTTGCAGCTGCTGTTACCGGAAAAATGTGCAGCTCCAAACTGTCACCAAATATAAAACTAAAGAATGTGCAATACATGTTGTTGTCTTTTTTTAATGTTTATGTTAAAAACATTTTAATACATGTGTCACAACTGACCGACATCTCAACCGAAAGCCGTGATGTATAAAAAATGATTAACATAATTTATTTATGATTTTTTTTTTTCTGGAATTTGGTTCACAAGAATTTAAAATCTGCCGCAGCTTTAACCTCCTCTGACAAAATGCAACTACTCGTTCTTCTTCATCTATTTTCCTCTCCTTGGCTCTTCTTCTACTCCTCTATTTATCACCTTCAGTTCATCAATCACTTCTTCTTCTCTCCTTTTTTTGTTCACAACAACAGGAGGAGGAAGAAAAGGTTGATGGAGAGCAGAGACACGTGAAGGCAGGAGCAGAGAGGGAGAGGAATAATTTATCTCTCAGGTGATAAGTGACATTTGATGGACACACACACACACACACACACACACACACACACACACACACACACACACACACACACACACACAGAGTAGGGCTGAGCAGCATCCAGTCGGGCAAACACACCGTCTGAATACTGATTAACCAATCAGAGCCCATTTCTGCCCGGCACCAGAGACACTTGTTGGCTGCTATGGCAACCGAGAAAGCATCATAGATGAGGGGAGAGGGATGGAGCGTCCAATGTGTGTGTGTGTGTGTTTGTGCGTGTGTGTGTGTTGATGCTGGATTTAAAAACAAAAAATACAACTTGATCTCCTCCAGATTAAGAAAAGAGGAAGAATGAATTTCTACATTTGCTGCGATAAATATATCTGATAGCTTTCTCCATGAATCATATTTATATTTAAATTGAATTTAACAATTACATTTTATTTAATCTCTACAGATTCTTCAGGGTATGAGAAGTGTTCTTGGTTTACGTTTGTACCACGAGAATCCTTCTGATTGACCCATCGACGGTAATCTGACGCAGTTTATTTGACTCTATGAACAGAAATCTTTAGTGAATACAGCTGACGATCTTTTCTAGATGAAACATTTCGACTTGACTCTGCTGCAAAGACAATCAGTGTTTAGATTTCCGGACGTCCTTGAAGTCGTCAGAAATGATCCATCAGACCTCCGTTCAACAAACAAAACTTTTGAAAAGATGTTTTTTTCTCCTCTTAGAAAGACTCTTTATTGTCTTTGTATAAAAGAATGCAAGGAAACTTTGTTGGCAGCGCTCCTGTACAGCAGCGTTTACAAAATCTCCTCTTAAGGACAAAGCGGCTGTGGATCAGTTGGTAGAGTCGTCGGCTTCTCTCAACCGGAAGGTCGGGGGTTCGATCCCCATGTGACCTCGGGCGAGACTCTTAACCCCATGTTGCTCCCTCTGCTTTGTCTGCAGCGTGTTAATGCTAATGAATGGGGTTAGTTGTAATAAGAAAAACAGTATTAACACTCACACACTCTGACCGTGTCGTCGTGGTTACGGGCATTAATAACGTCTCTAAAGAAACTCTAGCAGTGGCGTCGTTTGTTTTTGTCGTTTTTTAAAAGAGGCATCAGTCTGTTTTTAAACAACCTTAAAGTCTCTGCACAGGAGCTTTAAATCGATTGATGTACTCATCCTAACAAACTCAAATATTCTGAGTCAAACAGGGCGCGAGTTCTCGTCACACCTGGGACGTTCTTGAGTTTTTATTTGATCCATCCATTGCCCCTGAGTGTTCGCTTAAACACACTTTATTGTATTGAAACTGTTCCACCTTACGTCCCTTTTTCTTCTGTAATAACTTCACAAGAGGTCACCACTTAACTTCAAACGTGAATATAGCTCGTAAAGCGCTCTAGCACATGATATCTTAAAGGTTATGTGAAAAGTCTCCGGACTTGGAGGTCAAAAAGAGTCTCTAGGTTTCGTTTTTTTTTTAGCCCCGCACATTTCATGGAGAGAATATTCTTCACAGCAATGTTGAGTAAATTTAGCTCTTTCTCTTCTGAGCAGGGCTTTGAGAAGTGGGTTTCTGACACACTTATGAAACATTTTATTATGCGAGAGTCCCTGAAAGAGAGAAAAGAGAACAAAATTAAAGACGGGGGCAGCCTTTGTCTCGCTGCTTTGGCAATATTGTTCTCGACTGTCATGCAAATGAGGAGCAGCGGACTGAGAAATACAGGGAGAGATGGGGAGAACGGGCAGAGATAGTCACTATAAATCCTGCCCTGCTATTCCACGCCAACAGCAAGGAGGCCACTTTAATTCAATCTAAATTAAATCTGAAATGTCATGCATTCACATTTTATACATCATGACACAATATTTTCCCGTAAACTACCCGAGAAAAGGTGATAAAATACTC